TATTTTGATCACTTTTACAATTTATTTTATCAATTAAAAAAGTCTGTTTTAAGCTTTTTTGAGACACACTGTTGGAAAATCCTGTCAAAAGTGATTCCTTGTTTCAGGCTTTTACCAGAAGGTTTTGGTAACTCCTAGGTTTTTACTGCAAGGTCTCTGTAAAAGGCCAAAATGGAATCATATTAACACATACTTCAGAGACTTTTACCAAGCCACTGTAGTAGAAGCCAGATTTTACCAGACCGAAGATCTCATTTAACGCAAAATACACAAACACAAAAATTCAAAACACCAGTTCAACATCAAGAAAACTATCAGCAAGAATTGCTTAGCATAAAGAAAAGCCTATAAACTCTCTGTCAACCAGTTCATCAAAGAAAATAGCTTGTATGGGGTCAAATACTTCTCCGCGCATCTATATTCAGCAGCTGAATGAAACAAGGCCAAAAATCATTCCCAAGCCGAGGCTAAAAGCAGCCTCAAAATTTGAGGTGTACGTAAAATTGTACTAAACCATGTTGCAAGACAAATCTTCCCTTCGACATTCCATATATATCTGAGCATCGACTCTGAGTACACTAGCCTTGCACAGAGCAATAAAAGAAGGCAAACTTGATCAAACCATCTATTTCAGCTTCCTCATGAAGCAGATAGGTTGTCTGTTAAAGCTCCTAGTGTTAAGTTAATTTCGCTGTTTGTAAGGCTTATGTAAATTAGCCTATTATCTTATTATTTTATCTGTACTATCACTTGTACTTGCCTCATCTTATGGTGTAAAGGATATGGCTTGGAGAAAATTTTTAAAAGCAATTACTCCACATCTTTAAAACACAACTTTATTAACAAAACTATTCTTTGAAACGGAAAACTCCTACATGAATACTCAAACCTTCTTGTACTCAAGATAAGGCAATGTGAGCGAGTTTACTGGTTGCGTCGCCAGTTATTACAAAAACAGCATGACATCATCTCGCCGCATGTGCAGCTGAATGTAAGACTACCACGGAGTATTCCCCCAGTGACACAGTCACGGCAGAAAAGGGTTTGATTACAAAATTCGAGTTCAAGATATACGCAACTTGAAAATGTACATAAGAAAAAGAAAAAAAAGAAAAAAAAAACAAGAAATACAAAATATATGAATAGTAATATACTTAAATTCTCATTGAAATGTATAACAATACAATGCATATCTTAATTAAATAAAAATAATGAAAAGTTAATAAAATAAGAATTTTAAGCAACTCCCAAATGACTCGAAGTATTTATATACTGTAACTTTTGCAGCAGACCACAAGAGAAAAAGCATTCAATTATATTACAGTGATAATTTTTTTGGGAAAATGCACATGATGTCCATTGATGTGGATGTTTTAAAGATGTGGATGAGTAATTACTTGTTTTGGAACAATGTTTGAGTCTTCACAGATTTTTTGATATGGAATTACAGATCCATACATTCTGACAACATATACACTGGTTTTAAGGAATCAATTGAAACTGTAATGTTTTTGTTATTTACCTCAACAATGAAATTTTTTCCCATTTGATTAACAACAGCGTCAGGTCCAGTGTAAGGTGGAGTTAGAGGGGGTTTAACAGAATCGATCTGTAAAAATACATGAAAACAGGTTTGAAGTGCCGGGTGTACATAAATTGATAGTTGAACATACTTAGAGATTGGAATTGGTCTAACTGAATGCATGACTGATTGGAGCTATAAAACATAACATTCAGATTGAGGTACTGAATTAGTAAAATTCAGCATATCTGGAGGTAATCTTAAGTGTTGTACCGTAAACAAGTTAGGCACAGGTAGCATTTATATCTTTCTTAATAGCAGATCTGATACCCAACAGAACTATAGCCAGAATTTCATTCCATTTTGGATTGTTATGAACCATTATTGCACTTTTAAGCTGCCTATGAAATTTCTCAATCATCTCATTGGACTAAGGATGCTGAGCAGCAGTTCGAATTTGGTGTGTACCCAAAATCTTCATTAAATCCTTAAATAAGTGAGTTTCAAAATTTCGGCCTTGATCAGTTGTTATTGATACTGGGCAGCCAAATTTAGCTGTCCAGTTATGCATTAACACTTTCCAAGTAGTCTGAGCTGACATGTCGGCAGTAGATATAACTTCTGGCCATCTGGTGAAGCTGTCAGGAATTGTCATGCAATAGCAGTGCATTCAGACGGTGGAAGAGGACCTATGAAATCAATATGAATATGTGCAAATCTTGCATCAGGCAAGGAAAAGGTATCCAAAGGTGATTTTGAATGTCTGTGAATTTTAGAACATTGGCACTCTAGGCAAGATTGAACAGCAGTTTTATTAAATTTCTTCATATTAGACCAAAAACTACGCTTTTTGATTAATTCTTTTGAAGCTGAAATACCAGCATGAGAAAGAGTGGATCTACTGGGAAAAAGGTTGGAGCAAAAAGATTCAGGAATGAATGGGCGAGGTGTACCTGTATCCGTATTACAGTAAAGAGTAACATCTTCTAAGGAAAAATAATGTTTCTCTAGTTTAAAAACTGGTGAAGATTGAGATAGAGAATTTTGGAGTTCTGAAGCTGTGCTTCGGATAACTTTTTGTAATCAATGTGTTGATTATGAGATACTTGCATCTATTTCTACTCTGGATAAGGCACCAGCAACGATATTGTGACGACCTTTGATGTATCGTATGTCAGTGAAAAAATGGCCAATAAAATCAAGATGATGAAGCTGTGGAGAACATTTTTGAGGGTTTTGCGTAAAGCACATATTAAGGGCTTTCGATCTGTGTAGATTATAAAGACCCTGCCTTTAAGCATGTGCCAAAATTTCGTAATAAACAAATATATAGCCAATAGTTCTTGATCATAAGTTGACCATTTCCTTTGTTTACTGAGTTTGATGAATAGAAACGCATTGGTTCCCAAATGAATCGTGTACTTGCATTAATGAGCTACCAACTGCAATGTCCGATGCATCAGTACAAAGTTTCAAGGTAGCACTAGGAACTGGATGACTGAGAAGGGTTGCTTCCGCAGTTGCCCCTTTTTTGCTTTGGCGAATGCTATCTCAGCCATTCGAGAGGGTATTCTTTCATTTTCCTTGACTGTGAAGGTTTCTTTTTATTAATGCAGCCTTTCAATAACCTGTTCAGCTAAGCTAAAACATGTGAAGCTCTTGGAACAAAACATATGTAAGAGTTCAAAATGCTGAGAAATTTCCTTAATTGAGTTAAAGAGTTTGGGTTAGGAAAATTTTGAATGCCTTTCACTCTGTCGGGTAAAGGTTTTAAACACTGTTCAGATATGTGAAAACCTAAAAACTCCAAAGATGTTAAACCAAAATTGCATTTAGATACATTTATTCTTAACCCATAATTACTTAATCTTTCAAAAAGAGCTTTCAAGTGTATCAGATGCTCCTTTGATGCAACCAATATATTGTCAACAAAAGCAAATACTCCTGGCAGCTCACAAGTTACTTCATCGATAAACCACTGAAAGGTTGTAGCTGCGTTACATAGCCAAAATTGCATTTTTATGCTCTCAAAAAGTCTAAAAGGAGTGGCAGTAGCCATTTTATGGATGTCATGGATTCATTGGAATTTGATGATAGGCTTTTACCAAGTCTATTTGAGAAAATACCTCTTCTCCAAGCAACTCCGCTGCAAAATCACAGATGTTGGAAATACTATACTTATCTCTCACTGTCTGAGCGTTTGACCTCCAAAAATCTCTCTTAGGTCTCCATTCATTTGTGCCTTTGTGCCACGTGAAGAGGAGAGGACTTCATTACTTTTGGAGGGTTGCATGTGGCCTAAATAGATCATTTTTTCGGATTTCATTCTTCACAATTTTTAATCTATCTGGGGCTAATCTTCTAGGCTTACATGAAATAGGAGGACCTATAATTTCAATGAAATGCGTAGTATTATGCTTAACAGTCTCATTATGATCAGGAAGCTTCGTCAGTGAAGGATAGTTAGACAGTAATTTATCATATACAATATTTGCAATAATTGTTTTAACAGAATACAAATATGTGTTAATTATGCTGCAATTAATTTTTAGATGAATTTTTAAATCAGCAAGCTTTTTATTCCTTAAATCAGGTAATAAATCAAAATAATGCAAAAAATCAGATCCAATAATATTCGTTGACACTTTACACACATAAAAAGCAAAATTAAAATTGCGATGAAGACCGAGGTCAAGACTTCAAATTTTTTGCTCATAAACTGGAATTGGAGCACTATTGGCTGGAGAAAATGTCATAATAGGTCTCTGATGTATTTTATCGTTAGTTGCTGAGAGGAGACTGACATCTGAGCCAGTGTCACCCATAATGATTTTATTTGACTTTCTGTCTTTATTTGACATTTGATAAAAAGGCGATGAGACTCGGAGGGTAAAGTGCAAGTCGCCATTACACTTTCCGTGGTTTGTTTCTTTGCAACATACATGGAAGAACACACATTTTGGCTTTCTCATTGAATTTGCGATGATGCCAGAAGTAGAAAAAGTTCGAAACAGCTTTAGCTGAAGGACTTTCCTTTCTGTTAAAGCAGTTTTTGGAAACACTGCATGATCGTCATAGAGACAATACCTTACCACGCAATTTGCAGGCATCATCCAGTAGGGAAACCAATTTAGAATTATTAGATCCATTGACAGATACAGGTAAAGAAACTGTGCTTGTCTGAGTGGGTGTAACTTCCAATATTCGATCGGCAATGCTGGCAGCTTTCAAAGAATCGAGTGGTTCAACCGACGTGAGGATAGATTGAACATTTGGCAGCATTTACCTATTGAAACTTATTTTTCAATAAATGATCCACTGATTCTTTTTCTGTAATTTCTATCTAACTAAAGCAGAAACTAAATTTTACATTTTTTCATTATTGAAATAATCATGTTATATATGTGCTATTACAGCATGCTACATTTTCTGTAAAGAAATTAATATTTATCCTACAATGATATTCTTTCTATTTCAGAAAGAATTCCTTAATGCTGAAATACAGAAGTTTACCTTTGATGGGGAAATTTCTGCTTTATATAAACTGGTGGTTCATCGTGAAAACAGAAATGTGTGTGTAAAAAACCATATTCGAACATCAACAAGTATTTCTGCTTCTACAGCATCAGAAAATGTCACAAATTCTATTCAGAATAAAAAAAGCAGTGCCTTCTTAGGATATGAAAATGTGACCCAAGATTTTGATTCTATCATTAATGAGGAACAGGAACTTGAAGGATGCATTTTGGTTCAAAAAACATGTGTTTGGGAATGCAAGCTGAGGTGATTTTGATTATAAATTGCAGTTTTATGTGAATTTCTTATAAATATTTTAGTCCATTTGATTGTATTATTGTTTTTGCGTATTTTAATATTTGTTGTTATTTGTTATATTTTATGTAACAAATTTAGGGTGTACTTTTGTGTACTTGAATGCATGGCCATGTACTGAAAATGACATCAACCTACCTAGTCCCTTATGACCCTTGTCCATTCCCTTCCATCTGGAACTACATATGCCCTTTAAACCCTGTGTTATATTTCAAACTAGTGTTCCTATAAATTCTGCACATGTTAAAAAATTCCACTAATTGCTGGTTCTGCTTACACAGGATGACACAATACTACTGGAACAGCACTTTCCTTTTTTTTACGCCTCATGTTCAGTATCATATTATTTCTGCATGCAGATTACTATGGTCAGCTGTCCATTCTATCAATTATTTTAGCAGTTTAGTATGCAATATTTGTTTCATTTGCAAACTGTTACATATTGTGAAGTGCTGCTGTCATCTGTGTGCAGATGTAAGTGATTTAAACTAAAAGTATTTTCAAATGGAAATATTATTTACAGATTTACATAGTTAAGAGTGGTATTAAAATATAAAAAAATTAACTTGCAGTCAAATAGTTTAAAATATATTCTGTGCATCTGGGAAAAATATGGTCTGCAGTGTGGTTAACATAAAGATGACCTAAATTTAGAAATTATGGGGTGCAGATTTCTTACTTTTTCAGTTAATCATTTTTACATTTAACTTTTGCGTAGATAATTCTGTCACTTTTCCCATTTGTATAGATGTTGGCTGTTGGTCTACCCAATTTTTGATACTTTGAGCTTGTAACTTTTTTTTTTTCTTCCTGTTTTGGTGTTAATTCCATAATAATAATAGGGGGACTAGAATGTAATGTCGCTTACATTAAATTCAAACAAATAATATAATCACCCTTGTTATCAATAACCTCTTGCCATCTAGTATGCACATTTTCAATTCTTGATTCAATTGACTTTTGAGTAAAATATCTTGAGATGGCATTTTGGACATCCTCCAGATTTTCAAATTTTTTGCCACTAAGAAAATGTTGTAGGGATCGGAATAAATGGAAATCCAAGGGTGCGATGTTAAGCAAATATAGTGGGTGAGGCAGTACTTCCCACCTCAATTCATTAATTTTTTCAAGTGTTCATCTTGCATAGTGCAGTCTTGCATTGTCATGTTGCAGAATGACGCTTTTTTTTGTTGACAATTGTCACATATTTTTCGATTAAAGATTGGCTCACTCAATCCAGTTGTTCACAATAAAGGTCTGCATTAAAAGTTTGTCCAGGTTTCAGCAATTCAAAATGAACATTTTCGAAAATACTCCACCAAACACACAGAAGCACCTTTTTGGGATCTAAACCCTTCATAACCCCTATTAAAACTGCCTTTTGCGTTTCGGATTATCATATAGAACTCCTTTTTCATCTCCAGTAATCAAACAACCAAAAAATGGTTCTGGTGCCACTGAAGCAATATGTTGCATGTGATGGATTGGTTGGCTTTGTTTTCTTCGGACAGATTATGGGGGACCCGAACACCTGCTCTTCTTATTTTTCCAATCTGCTTTAAATGTTCTTGGATGGTTGACCAAGATTGGTTAAGGGTGTTTCACAGTTCCTCGATTGTTTGACATGGATTTGCTTCTACATCTGCCCTTAGCATGTCGTTGTCTAATTTTGTTGGTCTTCCTAATCAATAGGAGTCGTAGAGATCAGAATTACTGGATTTGAACTTAGAAAACCTTTGGCATTTACGAATATCTAATGCACGTGGATAAACATAGCAAATGTTTTTGTCGCAACTGTTACATTATTACCCTTGCAAAACTCAAAACATACAATGCCTGACATGCTCTTCTGTTATTTGGCTGGCCATTTCACCCCAAATTTAAAAAAAAAAAAAAAAAAAAAAAAAAAAAAAAAAAAAAAAGGATTATTTGAAAGTGAGCAAGTCACAATAACCTTAAAATGACTTTGGCATGCCTTCGACATACACGAGGAGCTGACAAGTGACAATCAAATATCGACATGCGCAGAAACAACATTATTTTCCGGTCCCCCTGTTAATAATTGCTACGCTTCTACTGGAAAGATTACCTATGCACTTGCCTGTTAGTTTGGTAGCTCATTGAAAAAAGCATTTACTCCTAGACTAAAGTATAGTAAGACTATAACTAAAGTACAGTAGTGAATATGAAGAATGGCAAATCACCCCATGATAGTTTCAAACTATTATGAAAAATTTTCTCTATTATGGTTCTGATATTATATTTAAAGAATTTTTATGTACACATAAAATTAAAATAGGTGGGACACCCTGTGGTGAATATTGATATTTTTAAATTTGTCTAAAGTTTTTATGTAATAACTATGTAAATCAGAAATTTAATAATTGCTCATAGGATGTAATTTCATGTAGCATGAATTTTATCAGTTTTTTGTGTGAATTTTTTTAGAATTACACCAGTGTATCCTAATTCTCAATTATCCATACATCAACATGTTAAACGTTACATAATGGAGTCTTAGACTAAGCTAAATAGGCTTGACTTGTAACATGTTAAAGAAAACATATTAACCCCAGAAAGTGCACTCAAATTTTATGAATGCAATAATGGGTTTCGTGTATGATTTTAATTTCCTTTTGAACATGTAATTTATTTTTTAAATATATATAAAATATCAAAGACACTTAATTGGAAATAGAACTTTAAATTTCTTATTAAAAAAAAATATTAAACCCTTTTGAATCTGCATTGATGCCTGCAGTATTCTGCATCATGAAAACTCTTGTCCAGTCATTAACCACAACTCAAACAAAGAATTTTTAAGCCTATAAATGCTTCACCTGCCTTCTGAATATTCTCTTTTGATGCTTGCTTACATCTAGGAAAGTCACGTCTCTAAGCTTCTTTTCCTACCATCTAAAATATAAGCTGTGTATACAAAATTATGGGACACCTATTGAACCCATAACCATGCGTGAAGCAAAAATTGCGTCTTCAGAACTGCTTTAACCAATTAAAAAATTGTAAGGAATTTGGCCAAAACAAAAGTGGTCTCTATGACCAGTGATTAATAAGTGTGAGCGCATTCTGAATTCAAGTATGCAGTTGAGTGCTCATCAAGGTTAGTGCTCTTGTGAAGTAACATATTTATTAAGGCTGCCTTTTCCATCGCTATAACATCACTTACGTTTCTTAATGAAAAGAAAGTTCAGTTGAAAAAATGTGATTGATTTTTGTTGCAGGATTTATGCATCTGCTTATGATTTCTGGGTTTTGTGCCATGGATTTTAAAGTTTTACATCAAATTTTATGAATAGAGTAAGATTTTTAATTAGTGCATCTATAAGTATTATATAAAAATTGTTAATTGTTATTATTATCAAAATTTAAGTAAGTAATGCTATTGTATAAATTAGGATTTTAAAAATGTAGCATTATTTTATGAAAAAGATTAAAGGTTTGTGGTATCAAAAGATTTCATTTTTCATAATTACATTTGATAAAATTAAGTAATGAATTTTAAGATTTTTTTAAAATTATTTATTGAGGAGTTTATTAAGATAATAACATTTTTAAATTTATGTTGAAAATTTCTAATTGCTGATAAGAATTTTTAAATGCATGAAAGAATTTTGAAAAATTTGTATAGTATAACAGTTTTTTTTAGTATGGTGCAGGATTTAATATTTTGATTGTGAATATTGTAATAATTATTATTAATTTTTATATATTAATAATTTTAGAACTTGATTAATTAAAATAAAATTGATTATGAGTAATGTATTTAACAAATGAAATTAATACGTATAAGAAATATGAAAATATGGTAAATGAGTGTTAAGATTAATAAATAAGTGTATATTAACATAGAATATAGTAAGAGAAAACTTTAAAAGCTTCTATCTTATGAAAAAATTTATTTTTTAAAGAATTCTTTTTATTTATATTTTTTTATATAATAGAGTGTTTTTATTTATTCGTTTTCATATAATGGGATGTTTTAGTGTGGTTCAAAAAGGCCAGTTGCCTTTAAACAAGGAAAGGAGGCCTTTTTAGAAGAAGGTGCTGAGTAGCCCATTAACCATCTGTGAAGCATACATCAACATGTTAATGTGCATTTGGCCATGAGATGGATATGTTAGTATGTAGAGAAAGCTGTGGGGTCTTCTAGTTTTATACGTACTAATAATAATAATAGAATAATAATTACTTGACTAATAATAATAATAGATAGAATATTCAGTAAAATTACTTCAGATGATGTTAAATGGAATGAAAATTAGTTATGATCATGTATGACATGTACACAAGTGGTTGTGATCATGTACAAGTGGTTGTGATCATGTACCACATGTACACAACCAATGTGTGATATGTAGTTTAATATTAATGGAATTTTTGTATTTTAAAAGCCTTTCACTGAACAAATATTATTATGAAAATTCTAAATTATGACAGTTTACTTCCAAATTTGATTTTTCTTTCAATCTAGCTTCTTTAAAAATTTTTTTTTCCTTAAAATGATTATAGGGTAATGTAAAATTCTGTTTTTCTGAATATATAAGACCTAACTTGAGTATACAAGTTACTTTTCTTAACCTGAGTTTTAATATTGCATATTTATTCTTTTTTTTTTTTTTAATTTCAAATATGTACTATAAAGAATTAATGGTATAAAACTAAATTGAAGCATGCTGATTAACTTGTATAAGGAATGCAGGTTTTTCTGTGTTATTTAAACATCGCATAGCCATCAGCAAGTAGTTATACTGATTCTGTTGTACAGGATCCGTCCATTTTAATCGAAGTTTAATATTGTACTATATTTTTTTAGTTTCTGTCTATCAATTAGTACATTACTCTACAATCGGAACATCAGATTTTGTTTTATAATGAATAAATAAGCATTAATTTTAATAGAATTTCATGGATTCATAATATAAATATTTTTA